TTCTTCCACCCACTTGGAATTCAACGTGGGCAGCTCTGCCAAAGGTGGAAGTTTGATCTTGTAAATGTTCACCACGTCTGGATGCGACGAGATCTGCTCATAGGCATTGCACAAGGTTTGATAGATACTTGCATCGCGAGACTTCTGGATGCGCTGCACCGCGAGACCGAAGGCTTCTACGGCAAGGTGAGGACAGAGCGATATGATATGGATGAGACGATCAATGGCTCCGCGACCGGTGTAATTAGAGATATAAGACTCGAGGTCAAAGGGGTGGGCGTCATCAGCTGGAACGAGAGGTGGTAGTACGCGTGAAGAGGTGCTGGGTACTGCAGCTGGTTGGTATTCTTGTTCGTCGATATCCATCATCGCGGTTAGAGGCGACACACGATTGAATTACACCTACACTTCTCAGACACGAACGATGATGACTCTGAGCGAGATCAGCGGCTTACATGTGTCGCCGTCTGCGTAGCTAAGTGGTATAGCGTGGGATTGCAAATCCTGAGGTCGCGTGTTCGATCCACGCCGCAGACTTGTGACTTGCCTGATTTTTTTTGGACGTGCTCAAAGGCCCTTTATAACTGAAAATAGTGTTAAAAATGGGAAGTTTATCAGAGCAGACAAGATCGCGAGTAGAATTTTGGCCGCACTCTAGTGTATACGTGCCGGCAATCGTACTTATAAGGATATGCCAGCACGCCCACATAGTAAGTACCACTATTTTAGTCAACAGGCACATAGGATTTATGAGATCTCTATAAGCCACAGCGGCAGCCACAAAGCTAGAAAATACAGGGTGAAAATACTGACTTGACTCTGTAATATGACATTCAGGTCGCCCACCTGCCCAGGGGCAGATATTCCAGCGTTGGTTGAGTCTTGGATGTAATTCATAGTGCAAATCTGTTTCACATTCTGCGTATGGTTGTACATACTGATTATGAATACAATGGTAGATTAAAAGAATAATTATGACACCAAATCAAGTTTTGGGATATCATCTTTGACAGCCTCAGTACTCATTCCTAGATTTACTTGAACTGTTATCAATGCTGGTACAATGGCCTGATTATGACATTGAAATTCAGTAACGGTGTCAGCATGATATTTGATACTACATACCTCAATTTGAATCAACAAGCACACAGGATTCAAAGGAAGTTCCAAAAAAATTGCGGCGGAAGACAGAAAGGCAGACAATGGGGTGATAAAACCTGACTCAATCCTGGAACATCATATTTAATGAATTTTAGACACATATAGACTCGGAGGTGTTCGAATAACATACACAATTATGATTATTGCACGATAGTGTGCTTGTATTTTGTGTCCAATGAAACCTTTTGAGGTTTTCCAGATCCACCAAATTCTCAAAGCTGCAATTCAGGGGAAAAATTCAAAATTACCTATACACACAGCCAATATTCACCATACTTACCTGTCAATCCAGTTATAAGCAAGCTTGAACATGCAACAATTAGTACTGCTACAGCTTCACACAGCCTTTCTTGTCTACTAGCATTCAAATAATTATACCCATTGTGGTTCACATTGAATGTGCTGAGCATTGAAAACACTAGATGGAGACTCAGATCAGAATTAAAATACTCAGACCGTCTTGCTTCTATTGAATCTTTTTACCATGACCTGTTACTCCAGTGATTATTGGGAAGGCAATAATCTTGAGTTGCCGTCCCCAGATAACAAAAAGCCGATATATCTTGTTTTGAAAATAATCAGCGTAATTCCTCAAATCAGAATTAACCCAAACTCACCAGAAGAATATGAGTCATGATGCTTGGGATACATTCATGTAAAAACTGAAATATTGGCGATACTTAATTTGCGTAGACTCACGAAGACAAATTAAGAGTCACTAGAACTATTGTCCTTCATAACATTGAAATTTGTGGATCAGGTCTCCGATAATATTGAGCTTGCAATTGGACTTACTCTATAATTTTCACTTGATAAGTTGATTGAGAAAATTTAGTGAACAGTAGTCCCATAGCACTTGAATCCAGAATCAGTCCCAGGGTCCCAAGCAAGAACAGTACACTGTTGATTGTGAGATGAAGATGTACATTGACTTGTCCTTTTGATTTCCGACGAGGATAGGCGTAAAATACACCAACACAAAATAGGACAGCATGTACACCTGCGCATGCGGTACATTAACAAAGTAAGACATAATGTTCAAAAAGGCTCACCATAAAGGAAGTATTCGGCCTACACAATAATTAATAGGGTCAGATTCAAGTATTTTTCGAGAAATGAAGTTGAGATTCACAGCAAGCAAGAAGGCAAATACAGCGATACTGGAAGAAGGGGGTGTTGAGGCTGGCTTGGACATTGTAATCAACCAGAAGCAGGGTGGCACTCCTTGGAGAGACTAATATAAGCTCCTAAATCTGAAACCTTCAAGACCCATCTAATAAATTTTTGAGGAACTAGAATGAGTGATAAATGCTAAACGTTAAACTCCAATACATGAGCCATCATTCGTCAGAAGATAGCTAACTGCACTGGCAAGCTATGTACCGATGATCTCCGCAAAATGACCATGCTTCTATACTATATCATTTACATACCAGGTTAATTGCGCCAAGCAAGCGTATAAGTATACACGACAGGATTCGAATCAATAAAGGGTATAAACAGCCCGTCAGAAATTTCCGGGAATTAGTGGCACTGGAAGGGAGTTTCGAATGGCCAGCTGCGTCGGGAAATTGTGCCTAACAGTTTCTGATATGTTGGTTGATATGTTTTGATAAACAACATACCGAATATTCCGAAGACGGGATGTAGATCATAGCAGGTACTTGGATTAAACACCGGACCTGACAGGAACAGGAGCGGGAATAGAGTCATCAGCCACACTAAGTAACGGTACCGGTAGTATCACTGTCATTCAATTCATCAACATCGATAGCGACAAAGGCAGTCAGGAACGCAGTCACAAATCCGTTTGTAGTGAGCTTGTGTATAGTAATTTAGAGGAGGAGGGTGCACGCAGCCACACCTGGTATCAACCCCCGCCAAAATTTGTGGCATGATGTAAAGTGTTTATATTTTTGAAGATATCCCAAATCAATGGCCGCCTGTTAAGCTAGTCGTGGGCTGGAGAAGTTAACAGAAGATTAAAGACGGAAGGAGGACCCACGAAATTTGTGGTATGATGCAAAGTTCACGTTCTCGAAGAGATCCCGAATCACTGTTAAGCCGACTGCGGGTTGGGGAAGTTCCTGGGAGATTACATAAAGACTGAGGGAAGGAATTGAAACTTAGAGGGACTGTTCAAACGAGGAGCAACACTTGAATCTTGACTAGTCCTTTGAAAGGCCATGAACATCAAAAAGAATCGGTATGCAGTTCACGACATGGATTCCCCGATCATTCATGTGTAGGAATGGTCAGTAGAAGTCCAGGGATTCGAGCTAGAACGAGAAAAATGAGGCGAAGTAGTAATCCGAAGGCTTTTTTTTTGGGAGCGTCGGAAACGCCACCGTCAGGGAGCGTATAGGTGCATACATCATACTTACCCCTTGAACGTTTGAACGGGAAGATGTTAAGTACATCTTCTGTTGAGTAATTGCCGAACTGTATGCACCTTCTTTATCTCAGCGATTAAGATAGGACACTGAAATTAAGCCCATGAACGAAAGAGATTCTGATATTCAAGAAAATTAATGAAGGAGCGGAAGCGAATGCGTTTGACAGTCCAAAATTCTGTAGGTGATGAATGTTTTTGGGCATTGATATCGAAGTGCCATCTTGAAGGCAGAAAGAGGGAATGTTTGCGCGGGGTCTGACGATTGTGTCATTCCAATGTACATCGAAATATCTTCAGCTTGACGTCCTCGTATATTTAATGCGCGCTGGCCGGAGTCTGCTCCTTCCACCTATTCATGACCTCTATATTTCCGCCAGGACCCCTTACGTCCCCGCCGCCAGTGTACGACGCTAGTGAGCGTCCGGACCAGAATAACGATACCGAGCTTCCGGCTTATACTTCAGGAGGCGCTATTAGCTCTGGTCGCGTCGTTCCTTTGAACTTTTCGCCCCTGGACCTCACGGAACACGTCGAAAGATACTTGACGGATGCAGGAGCCCCTCTTCCGAAGAGGGAGTACACGTACGAACTGGTCAAGGGAAAGGAAAAGGACAGGAAGAAGCCATGGGCGTTTTTAACAGTTTTAGGAGATTCCACTGTGTCACTGTCCAAAGGGATACCAACAATTGTGGAAGGCGAAAAGGTGGAAGGGGAGGTCAAGATTGATTTGGACAGTGCTGAAGCCTGTCAAGCAGTCATCGTCTCGGTGAGTGGATGATACAATTACGCTCTCGCTCGACTACATAATGTACTTTTAATTCTTTCCTCTTTTATTGACTTCAATATACGCCTCACAGGTTCGTGGTCAAATCATCGGGGGTGCTCAGAACAGCGACGTTCTTACTTTTCTCGAACTTCCGAAAGTTTTGTGGAGCGCTTCACCCAATCCTCTTTCGAGTACATCCAAGGCCGCAAATCTCCTTCCTGGACCCAAGCAAAAATCGAATAAACTTCAGCAGGGGTCGCACTCTTGGCCTTTTTCAATAGACCTCCCAAAGGAAGTCGCCCTTACGGTAGGCCCAAAGGATGCACCCAAGGTAGAGGTCTACCGGTTGCCGCAGTCATTTTTTGAGAGACACGCAAGAGCGAGGGTGCATTACGAGGTGACAGTGCGGTTTGTGAGGGGTTTACTGAAGACTGATTGGAGGTGTGTTCATCCATTTCGATCATTCCAAATACAGTGGTGACCTTCTTGGACAGGCTGTCAACCCAGTTCGCATACGTACCGATTACTATCTCTCCCTCACCCTCGCCATTACGTGTATTGGCCTACCAAGAAAATACACCATTACTTGGGCCAGAAGCGGACCCAACGGGATGGGTTACGCTGGATCCAGTAGCGATATACGGGAGAACTGAAACTAAAGAGGTAGATATCAGAATTATCGTGAGTTCCGATTTGTCCGCTATTATCGAACGTAATTTTGACATCGTTCCTTTCATCGCAGTTGTCCATTGCTAGTCCGGTGAGGCTTTCTTCCATTCCCTTGTCATACGACTTCTTATTGAAGATCCATTCAGCTTTCTTACGCCAGAGGATCGGTCATCCCCCTCGTTCTTACTGTTCAATGCAAAGACGCTCGCGCATTAGAGCAGCTCTCGACCCCGCGATCCATCGTCCTCAGGTTACGAAGACGTCTGCGTTATCATTCGGATGACCACAAACCTCCAGAATCATACCCTTGGACTGATGAGCATGAGCACTCAGAACTGGCGCTGTGGTGGCCAGAGACGTTGGTGCATCCTCGGGCCCGTTCTCTATCCAATAATCTCAATCTCGGCCCTAGGAGAGAAACGCCTGGACAAGGATCGAATTCTAGACATTCTTCGGGAAGTAGAGAAAGAAGGACGAGTGGTTCAAGATCCAGGTCGAGGGATTGGAGTAGAGGCAGGGGGAGTAATAATGATACACCACCAACGG